CCTCCTCCTGTGCACTGAAACCACTGAAGTCGTCTTCTTCAGTGTCGCAGCTGAAGAGCCTCAGAACATCTCCGTCACACACCTTTTCAGTCTCTCTGTCGGTGTTGCTCTCAATGTCACTTTCATCTCGAGGCACAGTTACCGATGAAGTTGCGCTGTTCACTCCACGCAGCAGTCCAGCCTTTTGAAACCCCTTGGTGATCGTGGATTCTTTCTTTTTTTTTTTTGAACAAATTTTTATTAATTTTTAAAAACATACAAAACATACAAAAATACAAGACATAAAAACATAAAAGATCTCTTTTCTGAAAGTTGCTTAATCCCGGGTCAAAACTCTTGGTACAGACACACATTCAAATTCATATTCATTTTACATACCATTCCATATCTTATTACATTTTCATTTTTCTATATAGCTTCTCCTTTCTTTTAAATTTTCTCAATTTTATTTTATTTATCTCCTCTCAATTCAAATCATAATATTTATTATTCTTTGTCTGTTCTATTTCCAACTATCCGTTTATCTTTTTTCTTAAAAGAAAAAAAAGAAAAACCTTCTCCTGTACACTGATTGGAGTATGACGCCTATGTCTCTTTCCCCTATATTTATAATACTTGATTTAAAGTACATAACTTATGTTGGGATTCTGTCTGGTACATTCTGACATTATACAATATCATCAAAATCAATACAAATCTATTCATTAATATTAATATTCATTCATATCTTAAACATCTAGCCCATTTCTTATCAATTAGGTCACATATTTCTATGGGAGCACCTATTTGCCATATTAATTCCGCCCCCTACATCACATATTATAAATCATTATTACATTACATGTTCCCCTCTCCTTCTTCAAACCTCTCATTTCACGAATAGTTTCACTAGTATAACATGGCCTAATCATTGGTATTAACAATCATTTATATCTTTAGACATTTTACCCATTTCAATTAATTATACCTTTATGGGAACACTTCTTATACTTTCCAAAATTATTCTCTCTCCCCCCCCCCCCCCACATCACCGATCTTAAATCATTATTTCATTAAAGTACTCCCCTCTCTTAACAAAACTTTCACTAAATTATACTAAATATTTTATCACATTTTAAATTGCATATTATTTCCAGTCTTCTATAATTATTTCTAAATACAAATATAAAAATGCAATCTTATGTACCCTTCTAGAATCCCTTTTCCAATAAAATCTATCCATTATCTCTAAAAAAAACTTTTGTTTTTTTGCATCTTGCTCCCCACCATTAAAGCTTCTCATCCCTTCCTTTCTCACTTGCTCCTTCTTCTCCTTATCCTCTTTACCCCCTTGTCTCTCCACCTCCCTTTTATTCTGTTTTCCCCCTTTCTGTTGTTTCCTAACAAGATATCCCCTTTTCACCTTATTCTTCTCTTTTTGGATTGTTTTCCCAGGTCTTAAAGTCTTCTTCTCCTTTTTCTCCTCCTTCTTTTCTTCCCCAACCAAAGTCACTTGTTCTTCAAAAATGGCTTCTTCTTTATCCTGCTCATACGATTTTACATAAGCACAGACCGCCATTTCTATAAACTGAAAAAGAGTGCCAAAGACATCTTTCCCTTCTTGCTTTTCTCTTTCATATTTTTGGTGTATAAGTTCTAGTTCATCCACAACTGATGCCATTGTACAGAGAATTTTTTTTTTCCAAAACAACCACCCGAGTGCTTTTAGTCTGAGATAATTCTCATAAAATCCAAAGTCATCAAACAGTCCAATCAGCTGATTCTTTTTAATACTTTCTCTTTTTTCACTTTCTCTTTTTGGGATAAAGTTTGATCACAAAGTTCTCTTTAAAGTATATCTTTAGGAAGTCTTATTGCTGTTTAATAACTCTTTAAAATTAGCTCTTTAAAGTTTTAGGCAGTCTTCTCCTTATTTTCAGGTTGCTCCAATTTTTTTTTTTTCCCCTCTCCCTTCCCATTCACAGCCAAAAAAAAATTCTTCTTTTTTTTTTTCCCCTTTGAATATTCAGAAATCCTTGCTCCTTCAATATTCATTTACCTCCAGAACAGATTCCCGGATTTCTCTTATGGTTCCATTGCTGTCACGTTAGGAAGGAGAGTGAAAGGCAAAAAAAGAAAAAACTTTCTCTTTTGAAAATGTTCGCCGCTTGTATCTCTTTCTAGAAACAAAGTATCCTTAGCAGCCTTCGAGGTTACAGGGCACTCTCTCTTAACTTTATCCCAGTCAGAAGCAACTTCCACAGCTCTTCCCTCTTCCTCCAGCACAAATCTTACCCGGCTGCAGGCTTCTTTGAGGCGGCCATTACTGACCGCCGCTCCACCACCTCAGGAAAAAGGGGTTATTCCGGCTGGAAAGGGGGTCTGCGTTACCCCCAAACCTCTGTCCGGATCCCCTCTCTCTTCGGCTGCCTCTACAAGGCAGCCATAGCCCCCAGACCTATTTAGATTGGGGGCACCTTGGCGGCGAGCGCGGCAGGGATCGCAGAGACGCGAATTCCTGCCGCTACCGAAGCTGCGCAAAACCGGAAGCCTGAAATTCTTCTTGATTGTCATTCGGGGCATAAATTGCAATCAGGAGTGTCTTCACATTATTGTCCATTATTTCCACCATTAGTATTCTTCCATCGTCATCAGTATAAATCAATTTCGCTGGGATAATATCTTTAATATATAGAACCACTCCTCTTTTCTTGCATTGTGTCAAAGAAGTAAATATTTTCCCTAATTTTGGCTGTATCAACAATTGTTCACATTGCTTTTTGATATGTACTTCTTGTAGGCAGATTATATCAAATTTTAATTTCTCTAATTTATGGAAAGTTTTCCTTCTTTTAACAGCTGAGTTAAGTCCATTTATATTAATTGTAATCAGTTTTTTGTCTTCCATGGTTATATTTTGTAGTTAGGTTTAGCAGCTCTCGTAGATCTTGGTTCACGTTGTTCTTTGGCTTCCACCTTTCCACGTACTGCACCTTCTTCTTTTTCAGTCATCATTTGGCAGTCCTCTTGGAATTCAATTAGTGAGATTTCTTTTTCTGCCTCTTCCTCTTTCCCTCCAAAAAATTCTGTGTAAAATGATTCAGCTTTCTCAATTGAGTCAATTCTATGTCTCTGATCTTGCCATGTGAACATCACACCTTCTGGAATCAACCATCTATAATTCACCTTTTTTTAAAGTAGCATTTTAGTCAGAAATCGGTATTCTCTTCTCATCTCTCTCACTGTTCTGGGTTCTTTTTTCAGGACCACAATCTCCTTGTCTTTATATTTCAATATTTTCTCTCTTGCCACTTGCAATATTTGCGTTTTAATGGCTTTCTTTGTAAATCTGATGTGAACTTCTCTTGGTAAGCTATTTCTCATTGCATATCTTGTGAAGACTCGATAAACCTCATCTATTCCATCCATCATCTTCTCTTTAGTTATTTCCAAAGCTTCAGCCAAAATTTCTATCATTATCTCAGCTAGGTTTTGTCCCTTTTCTTCCTCTATGTTTTGGAATCTGAGATAAAATTCTGATCTGTCCATCTCCCATCTCAGCATACCACTTTTATCTTGCTCAACCACAGTTAATCTGTTATCAATATCTCCAATCTTCTTGTCTCTTTGTTTATCTTCTTCAATTTTTTGGAATCTCTCATCATACTTCATCATCATTTGTTGAATGTTCTCCACCTTTTTATCAGTTTTCCCTGTTCTTTGTTCGATGTTCTCTGTTCTCTTCTCAATATTCTCTGTTCTTGTTTGAATATTTTGAATTCCTTGCATAATCATCTGCAGGGTCACGTTTTCTTGTTCTTTTTCTTGCTGTAACATTGTCTGTATGGAACGTTGTCCTCTAGATGGTGGAGAGGAAGAAGTAGAGGTTGAGGAACCAGGGACTGTTAGTTTCCTACTCATTTGACAGGTACTGATGAAAAGGTGATTAAAAAATTGTATGGATATTTGTTAGAAATTAAACTAGAAGAAGAACAAGTTAAAGAAACTATGATTGCTTGGGAGAAGAATTTTGGATATGGGATTGATCTAGAGAAATGGCAAAAATTGTGGTCTCAAAATTATAAAATGACAATGTCAACAGCATATAAAGAAAATTTGTATAAGATGTTTTACAGGTGGCATTTCCCCCCCGACAAGAATAGCAGGAATGTTCAAGAAGAAATCTGAAAAATGTTGGAAATGTCATCAGACACCTGGCTCATATTACCATATGTGATGGACATGTACGGATGCTAAAAATATTGGACTAAAATCCACACGTGGTTGGAAAAAATGACAAAAAAGCATATAGATTTGAAACCAGAGATATTTTTATTGGGAATTTTACCTGAAATATACAGTAAAGAATTGAAATACCTGATTGTAAATGTATCAACAGCGGCTAGGATTGTATTTGCTAAAACTTGGAAAAATGAGAAAATACCATCACAGGAGGAAATCATTAAGAAAATATTGGAATGTGCTGAAATGAGTAGATTGACATTTGAAATCAGAGAACAAGATGATAAACAATTTTATAAAATTTGGGATCTATTCTATCAATGGTTAGACAATAAAATATAGTAATGAATTATGTAGATTCTTAGAAAATAATAAATATATAAAGATGTATTCTTTTCTTATTATATCTCCAAAATGATTCTAGGATAGATTTGAGATGATAATATGAACTGTCATAAAACAAATAAAGTAAAATATGACTATTTCGTAAAACATGAATGAATAAAAATATAGTCAAATGATTGATTAATAATGATATTAATCTATTTTAATACTTGATTGAAAATACGAGAATATATACAATGTAATTGTAATTGAAGACTACAAAATGGAAGCACAAAACAATTTGTAAACCAACCGGCACACTGTATGTATATATATGGAAGATGGCTTGATGTTTTTATGTTTTGTTTGTTTATGTTTGTTTTAAAAACCAATAAAAATTAAAAAAATAAAAATAAATCTTGAATACTATTTCGTCCCATTTTTTCTCCACTTAGGATGAGAGTGATGATGATGATGACTGGAACCCCTGTAAAGCAGCTGGGGTCTGCCTGATGCTTCTGGCAACCTGTTGTGAAGATGACATTGTCCCACATGTTTTGCCCTTCATTAAAGAACACATAAAAAATCCTGACTGGCGATATCGAGATGCTGCTGTCATGGCATTCGGGTGCATTTTAGAAGGCCCAGAACCCAGCCAGCTAAAACCCCTCGTCATTCAGGTGAGAGAAGCTTGTGCTAATAATGTGTTTATGTTTCTTTTGAAATGAAGGTTTGCAAGTTGTAGATAACTGGTTTGTAAATAGATTAATTATGCATCTCTTTTTGAATAAAATATTCCATAATCTGAAAATAGCAAGGACCTGAGGAAAATAGCAGAAATTTTCTTGGCTTACACTGAATTACAGCTAAGACCAAAATGACTTTAATCTTAAATGTACTATGCATTTTATTTTTTGCCATTATTTTGATCAAATAACTATACACCACAATCACAATACTGTTTGTGCAACCATTGTTTTGTGCAAAAGGTCTGAAAGCATTACAGCTTAATATAGTGCCCTTGCATTATAAAAGCACACAAACTTCTGAGAAAGGCTGCACTTCCACTTTCCTCCCAGAAAAGGACACCATGATAAGTAAAGACAACTACTGTAATCAACTTCTGCTTTAATTGCTTGTGATCAGAGAAGTGATTGGGTTCCTCTGCCTTCCTCAATGGTTTTGAGTAGTAAGGGTTATGAGGAGACAGTCTCTCCCATATCTGACAAAGCACCTTATTTAAAGAACATCTGGAAAAGAAACATTTGCAAATCAGATCAGATTTTGATACCAGTTCATAAAAATAAATACATAACAACTTAGTTACAGTAATTCTTACATATTCTGCTGTGCTAAAAGACTAAAATCTGTGTGACCTCTTGTTCCATCCTTAGTAGTCCCAATGGAGGAATATCTTTGCCAGAATAAAAGAGCAAAACATTCAGAAACAATACAGAATGTTTGTGCAGCATACATGCACTGCATTTTTTTTTGCAATTTTGTGATGCAGTACAGTAATTCAAGACAGCCTATATGGTTACCCCTCCCAGGGATTCTGTGCTTTAAAGTGAGAGAGATTGGCTCATCAAACTTATTTTACAGTTGCTGCCAGTTCATTTTGTCTATAATTCAAGGGGTTAGTGATTGTCTTTAAAGCAGAGTTCCCTAGCCTTTCTAGCTTTGCGGACCGGTGGTGGTGGTGGGAACAACAGAAGGGGGGAGGGTTCACGCGAGCAGCTGGCAAAGCGTGTGTGTGTAGCTCCATTTGCGCAAGTGGTGTGCACACACTTGCCCACCATTTCCATGGCCCAGTTGTAAACTGCTCATGGCCCACTAGTGGGCCGCAGCCTAGAGGTTGGGGACCCCTGCTTTAAATTACTAATTCAACTTGATAGGAATCAAAGATATGAAAAGTTTATGCCCTGGGATCTGTGAACAGGATTTCTTCTTTAATCGTTTTTTTAAAGAAGCCAAGAAACAAAAATGATGCAAAGACTGTAAGTAGACAAAGAACAGCAATCGCACTTAGACTTATATACCGCTTCATAGTGCTTTATAGCCCTCTCTAAACGGTTTACAGAGTCAGCATATTTTCCCCAACTATCTGGGTCCTTATTTTACTGACCTCGGAAGGATGGAAGGTTGAGTCAACCTTCAGTTGGTCAGGATCGAACTCCTGGCAGTAAGCAATAAGCTAGCTTGCAATACTGCATTCTCCTGGCAGTAAGCAATAAGGTAGCCTGCAATACTGCATTCTAACCACTTCACCACCATGGCTCTTAGTTTACAGTCACAGAAGTTGTCTGGTTAGTGATCAGTACGTTGGTGCTGAGAAATTAACCATAACAAACAAAATAGTTTTTAACAATAAGCAAAATGGTTTTTAGAAATCTTTTTTAATCTCTGAGTTGAATGCCAAAGTCTCCAGCATTTTGTTATTGAAAGTTACCACTTAAAAAAAGAGCTACTAAAACTTTGCAGATAAATATTTGATTTCTAACTTCCCCTTTATTGTACTTTGACTGATATACAACATGTGTGTGTGTGCATGTGTGTGTATATATGTGATTTTGGTTCTTAATTCCATTCTTTTTCCCCTCAAAAAAACATACATGTAGTCCTGTCAGGTGCAGGAAATCATGAGCCAGGATAGAGTTCAAAAGCACTACAAATTTATTCCATGCAACCTGTACAGAAGAATCTGATCTACTAACGGTCAAGGCAAATTGGCACCAGATAAGAGTCAACGGACTTCAAGGGGGGGGGGTGGACTTAGGTCTCTTATGAGGCTGTAGTGACCCCACTCTCTGGTCATCTCCTACATCTCTTCTCCAACTCCCCCCCATGGGCTCGGAGGTATAGCAACCCAACCCTTGAGTCATCTCCTACATCACTCCTCCAACTTGCCCCCCTCCTCCTCCAAGGGCTCCTGAGAGCTGCTTCCCTCCCTCCTCTTTAGTTTCTTCAAAGTCTGAGTTCTCATAGGAATTTGGCAAGTGTGGGAGGGAAGCAGTCTCAAAGGAATCTTTCTCCCCCACTTCTGTAGTGGCTGGTGAGCCAGGTAGCAGTTGCTGAAACACAGAAACATTAGAAAGTCCCTCCCCTCCACAACCCGGAAATTGAGGGCCAAAGGTGGATGAGGCCCATTGTAAGCAGCTCTCCCGCCTCCACAAATTCTACAGGGGGCAATAATGATGGCCTATTGTCTTGGCTGTAGGTACAATAGCACCTCAAATATTGTTGGAGAAGCTGGTTAGTGCCCAAGTCAGCCTATCTTCATCTTCACCATTTGTGACTGGGTGAAGATAGGCTGATTTGGACATTCAAGAGCTGGAACAGTGCCTTCCAAAACCTGGATTGGAATTGTACCCCCTGTCTGACAGTATTCTTGACACCATCTCCCAATAGCGAACGATGTCTAAGAAAAGCTGGGCTGTTTCCTTGGTGTTGGGTAAAATTATGCGGGGAATGAAATGAGCCATCTTGGTGAAAAGATCTACCACCAACAAAAGCCTTGCACAGTGTGTGTGTATAAATCAATAATGAAGTCCAGTGACATTGTATGCCATGGGCAGGGGTGTGGCTGTAAAAGGCCTGCTGGCTTCTGATGGAGGGACTTGGCCCTCCTGCAGGTGTGGCAAGATGACACGTAGTCCTTGCTGTCTGCTGCCATGTTACCAAAAGTCTCAACATTCTCTGGAGAGTTTTGAATATTCCCCCATGCTCTACTGTCTGGTTGTCATGACAAAGCTGCAAAACCTCTTCTCTGGAAGAGGGAACCACTAATCTGCCCTTGTGCTTTCAGTGCACCTCCCTCCACCGCTAACAGGGATATGGTACCTGTTGTGGGGCTTCCTTAAGGTCTTCCATTTGGGTCTAGGAGAAGCGGTCTAGAAGTTGCTGTGCCTTGATTCTAGTGAGTAAGCCCTGTTGCAGTTTAGTTGCTTTCAACCTTCCAGAGGGTGATATCTGTGGTGCTGGCTGGAAACAAGAAGGCTGTAAAATTGTTGCCTTGACTGGGGTGTGATGTACTTGAGAATACTCTGGTTTGTGTGACAAGGCATCTGGCAGTAAATTGTTTGAGCCAGGTATGTATTAAATGTAGAAATCAAAGTGTGAGATGAATAGACTCCAACACATTTGTTTGGGAGAAAGCAACTTAGTCTGTTGCAACACATGTAGGTTCTTATGGCCTGTGGAATGCAGATTTCACTGCCAGGAATTCCTTCTTGAAAATACCATAGTTTTGTTCTGGGGTGGTGAAAGCTCTTGAGAAAAAGGCACAGGGAAACAGACTGTTTCCCTCCTTGCAGTCTTGGAGAAGAACAACTCCAGTGCTGACATCTGAGGCATCCACCTGAACCACAAACCTCTTGAATGGATCAAAATGCTGAAGGAGGGGTTGCTGGGCAAAAAGTTGCTTTAACTCTTCAAATGCTGTCTGGTGTGTAGAAGTCCAAGCAAACTTAACCCCTTTCTTTTTGAGTTGGGTAAAAGTTTTAACCTTGCAAGCAAAGCCGGAAAAAAAATTTCTGTAGAAGTTAGTGAAGTGTTGTATGTCTTTGGCTGTACGTGGGGCTTGCCATTCTAGTACAGCTCTGACTTTCTGGGGGTCCATCTATATATTGTTTGTGGAGATACAGTAGCCCAAAAAAGTGTTAACTGTTTCAGATCAAACGCACATTTTTCTGGTTTGGCAAACAGATGGTTGTCTCTGAGTCTAGTGAGGACTATCTGGACATGTTCTTTTTTTGTTTGCTTGTTTGTTTCAAGTTTTTTATTTTGTTTTACAATGTATCCGTATCAATGCGTGTGGCACCAGAGTATCATACATTTTAGTACAAATAAAATAGTGCTATTAATCATATTTGTTACATTCCTCAAGCTTATGTAGTTCTAGTGTTGATACACATTTGTATTAAATTATAGACTTTCATAATTTAATTCAATGTTTCAATACGTTATTCCAATGCCAATCACAATAATGCCTTCATTCAATTTCTAATCTTTCCTCTTTTTGTTACTTTTGTCGTATTGTATAGGAATGTGTGTACTAATATTCCCCCTCTCTCTTATTTCTATCCCTATTCTAACTTTTAATCATGCCACCGTTATATTTAAAAACAAATCATTTCTATCCGTCATCTCTTGTCTACTTTAAAGCTTTAATTGTTCATTTTTTAACTTGCCTCCCATATTCCTCTCTTGGATCATTATCCCTATCTGCATCTACGTCCTATTCATTTTAAACATTTTCCCATATCTGCCCTTTTCTATTGTATAGCTTTCAAAATATCTACCAATGCCCCTATCTCCCTTTCAAAAATGTCTTCCTGCATCTCCGGTTCCCTTTTTAAATATCTTAAAATGTTTTCCCCTTGGTTTATTTCATCAAACATTATTATTGTTATTGTTTCCTTCTTGTCTTGTTTTGATTGCTGGTTAATCTCTGCTTTTTCATATGCTCTTTCAGTTGGCTCCTTTTCCTGGGCGTCTTGGTCACTCATTGTCCTTTGTATAATATTTCCCAGTTTTTCATCCATGCCATGCATTAAGTTCTTAATCTCCTTGTGGTTTCTTATCAGAATGTCCTTGATGCTTTGAAACATCAACACCATTTCCCACATTCCACTCATTTCCTCCTGATGGAGCATCTCGTCTTGTTTTAATAGTCCTGCTC